TAAAAAATTACACACCCCTTCCCTCCTCCCCCCAATCAAACAAACAAACCCCCTTCCAGACTCACACACACACACACACACACACACACACACCCCCACCCCCACACACACACACACACACACACACATACACACACATATATATATATATATATATATATATATATATATATATATATATATATATATATATATATATATATATATATATATATGTATATATATGTGTATATATCTATTTATTTATACATACATACATTTTGACTTTTTATTATTTATACATATATATATATATATATATATATATATATATATATATATATATATATATATATATATATATATATATATATATATATATATATATATATATATATATATATATATTTATTTTAATTAATTAATTATTTTATATATTTATTTATTATTTGCAGAGCTATATTTTTTTATATATATACATGTATATATAAATAAAAATATATATTTATATATATATACATATATATATATATATATATATATATATATATATATATATATATATATATATATATATATATATATATATATATATATATATATATATATATATTTTTTTTTTTTTTTTTATTTATTTATTTATTTATTTATTTATTTTTTACAGTGCATAAATATGGCTGTACAAGTGTGCGTGTGCATGTGTGTGTTAAAGGCTGAAATGTCAGATTGGTTGCTGGCATCTTTTACCTGCACTAAAAGTCTTTTAAGGGCTCTCTTGGTAATGATCCTCTTTCAGAAAACACTTACACACTCGTATAGTTTTACCATCACTGACAATCACACGCAGAAACGGGCAGAGAGAGACGGTGAAAGTTTACATCACTGTCCACTGCAGGTGTTATTGTAATATACCTTTAATAGTGCATCGATTGAACAGAGTATATGTCAATGATTTATGTTAACTAATTATTTAGCCTGACATGTTTACTGTTCCAAAATATTTTAGATGTTTCCTAAATTAAAATATATTGTGTTTAATGGGGAAAAAAGATGTTGTTTTTTACCTGGACATTAAAAATAGCATATCTTAGAGCAGTGATCACAATACCATGATGCCGTGATATTTTTATCCAAGGTAATTATACCGTCAGAATCGTATACCCACCCATGCCTAGTCTAGAGTTGCAGTATTGTCCCACGGTGACCCTTGGGCTGACCCTCTGTGTGCTGATCCACAGACCAGAGCTTCACCCAAAACATCTGAGAGCCAAAAGCAGAGCCCGTCGGAAGTGTCCACTTCTAGTGTTGCTCTGTTGTGCTGCATTACGGCCTCATGTTTGGTGGCTCTGAGCTTATACTGCTGCTCAGGATTTATGCAGGTCAGAGGTCAGCGGACTTACAGATCCTAAACACAAGCTAAAGTGCTTGGTTTGAGGTTTTTGTTCACAAAAGCCGACTGTTTAAGGTTGCAGATGGGTTTAAAATAATAGATAATGTTAAATATAATATTTTCCGATCACACTTTATGATAAGGTTTCATTGGTTGAGGTATTTACTGACATTAATTATGAGCGATACATTTACAGCATTTATTAATCATAGTTGAATATTTACTAATGCATTATTAACATCCGAATTCATGAGGTCTGTATGTATATCAGAGCCTCCATTGATTCCTGTTAACTAATTATTGACCCGAGGACTTGAGGGGGACCGTCTTAATGGCTTTGGGGGGGTTTTATGGCTGTGAGCCGGAGAAGGTCAGATCTGAAGCGCAGTTTTGTGAAGAGACATGTTAAACAAACATTAATGCCTTTCAATCATAAAAACAGGCCGTTTATGGAGAGCTGTGTTTGCCGGACTCGTGTATTGGGTTTGCTTTTACTGATCATTATCAGAAAGACACAACCTTTCAAAGGGACAGTCCACTCAAGAATCTAAACTTAATCATTAATTACTCAATGCATTATTGTGTCTTACATGTGAAAATGTGCACATATGGTTGAAGTCAGAATTATTAGCCCTATAGAGAGAGAGATTTTTTTCAACACATTTCTAAATATAATAGTTTTAATAACTCATTTCTAACTGATTTATTTTATCTTTGCCATGATGACAGTAAATGATATTAGACTAGATATTTTTCAAGATACTAGTATTCAGATTAAAGTGACATTTAAAGGCTTCACTAGGTTGATTAGGTTAATGTTAGGGTAGGCAAGTCATTGCATAACAGTGATTTGTTCTGTAGACAATGCAAAACAAATATAGCTTAAAATTACCTTAAAATAGTTACAAAAAAAATTAAAAACTGCTTTCATTCCATCCGAAATAAAACAAGACTTTCTCCAGAAGAAAAAATATTATCAGACATTATCATAGTATTTGGAAAAAGATCAGCAGGAGGGCGAATCATTTTGACTTTAACGGTGTGTGTTTATATATTTATATATGTATGTATAAATATATATATATATATATATACAATTGAAGTCAGAATTATTAGCCCCCTTGAATTATTAGACCGCTTGTTTTTTTTCCCCCCAATTTCTGTTTGACGGAGAGAAGATTTTTTTCAACACATTTTTAAGCATAATAGTTTTAACAACTCATCTCTAATAACTGATTTATTTTATCTTTGCCATGATGACAGTAAATAATATTTTACTGGATATTTTTCAAGTCACTTCTGTACAGCTTAAAGTGACATTTAAAGGCTTAACAAGGTTAATTAGGTTAACTAGGCAGGTTAGGGTAATTAGGCAAGTTATTGTATAACGATGGTTTGTTCTGATGATTATTGAGAAAAAAATATAGCTTAAAGGGGCTAATAATTTTGTCCCTAAAATGGTGTTTAAAAAATTAAAAACTGCTTTTGTTGTTGCTGAAATAAAACAAATAAGACTTTTTCCTGAGTAAAAAATATTATCAGATATACTGTGAAAATTCCCTTGCTCTGTTAAAAATCATATGGAAAATATTTTAAAAAGAAGAAAAAAATTAGAAGGGGGCTAATAATTCTGACTTTAACTGTGTATGTGTATATATATATATATATATATATATATATATATATATATATATATATATATATATATATATATATATATATATATATATATATATATATATATATATATACATATATATATATATATATATATATACACACACACACACACACACACACACATACATACATACATATGTAAATATATATATATATATTTAGTTTTATTTGATCAATGAAATGCGTCTTAACTAAATAAAACTATTACCCTCCTTAAATATAAATTAAAGTAATGCAAAAAATCTGAGCAGTACATTATTAATATTAACCAAAAATAATAATAATAAATGTTTGATAAATTATAATAATAGACTGATTTCGGAAAGATTGTATGACACCAAAGACTAGAGTAATAATGCTGAAAATTCAGGTTTAAATGACAGAAATAATTTCCAACAATTTAAATTATGTTCAAATATAAATCAGTTATTATGAATCATAAATAATTTTTTGCAATATTACAGTTTTTACTGCATTAGTTTGGTTTATATTTAAGGTAACAGTTTTATTCAGTTAAGACACATTACATTACACATTGCACAGTTAAATTATTATTTATTTTACCAATTAATACACATTAAACTTTAGACTGTTGACTGTTAATAAGTATTAAGATATAGATTAAAGGTCCCATGAAGGGGTTTGAAATGTGCATTTCTATGGTGTTCTATAGGACATAGAGTAGCTCCTCCCCCTTTTTAAAAACCAGCCAATGGCATTTTGTTTTATCACCGCTCTGCCAGTGAGAGTAGTTGAGTTCGAGTGCATCAAATGAAAAGCAAATGAAAAACATTTTCAAGGGGGCGGGGCATGTCAGATACTAGAAAGCATTTGATTGGTCAAAAAGTCGTTGATTTATTTAGGTGAAAAACACAAGCTTTGGATGTTTATATCTTCTAAATGTGAATTTATTTGTTTGTTTTGGACTGATGCTGATATACTACCATCTAAAAAAACTTTAATTTCACAGGACATTTAATGTTTTCTAGTACCTAGCACCGTTATATTAGCGGCTGCGATGGTGTAGTTTCTGGTTCCAGGTGTAGTTGCGCGGCAGAAGTAGATTCCAGCGTGTTGAGGATTCACATCAGATATGATCAGGTTTCCATTGCCGAGAACTTTAGTTTTGTGAACATCTATAGATTTATGGTCTGCTCGGCTCCAGGAGATCAGCGGACGAGGGTTTCCAGACGCCATGCACTCCAGCAGAGCTGTACTGTGAGCCGGCACAGTCAGATTCTGCGGACCGGCGATGATCCGCGGCCTTTGAGGAGCTCTGGGAGACATTGCTGTGGAGGAGGAGAAGAAGATATGGGGTTAAATAAGGAACAATTGACAATGAAAGATTGAATTGTTAGAAAATGATGCACATCTGAAATGGCGTTGATGCATTACAATTCAGGTTTATTTATGTTCTAATAACTTAATATGCTGGAGTAACGTTTTACTATGGTTACAACACTTCAAGACAGTTTTCAGATGTTGTATATCAGACATTTGTCAGGTTTTTGTCCTCAAACTGTTCCTGTGTGTGGGACTAGTTTCTTACACATCACATCCAAAGCCTTCTGTTGTGTTTTGATGTGATTTTTGACTGTTGTTGCTGTGAAATAACTAAAATAATTTAGCGTTGTCAAATGAATCTGTAATGCACTTAAAATATGCCGGAACTACTTTGGCTGTGCATTTACATGAAAATAACAGCACACTTTAGAACACTCATCAGCCAATCAGAATTGAGCATTTGACTGCTGCAGCTGTGAAACAACTGAAATCATTCAGCGCAGTCATCTAGAGCTGTAATGCGCTCAAAACCTGCTGGAACTACTTTAGCTGTGTGTTTATATGAAAATAACTGCACACTTTAGAATGTTCATCAGTCAATTAAAATTGAGTATTTGACTGTTGTAGCCGTGAAATAACTAAAATCATTCAACATATTGATTTTGAGCCATAATGCACCCAAAACCTGCTGGAACTACTTTAGCTGTGTGTTTATATGAAAATAAATGCACACTTTAGAATAGTCATCAGCCAATCAGAATCAAGTATTTGACTGCTGTAACTGTGAAATAACTCAAATCAATTAGCATAGTGACATGGACTGTATTGTGCTCAAAACTTGCCGGAACTACTTTAGCTGTGCATTTATGTGAAAATAATGGCACACTTTAGATTGTTCATCATCCAATCAGAATTGAGTATTTGACCGTTGTAGCTGTGCAATAATTGAAATCATTTAGTGTAGTGATATAAAGCTGTAATGCACTCAAAACCTGCCGGAACTACTTTAACTGTGCGTTTATGTGAAAATAACCAAACACCTTAGAATGCGGATCAGCCAATCAGAATCAAGTATTTGAATGTTGTATCTGTGAAATAACTCAAATCATTCAGCATAGTAATACAGAGCTGTAAAGCACTCAAAATCTGCCGGAACTACTTTAGCTGTGCGTTTATATGAAAATAACAGCTCACTTTAGAAAGCTAATCAGCCAATCAGAAGCGAGCATTTATCTGTTGTATCTGTAAAATAACTGAAATCAATCAGTGTAGTGATATGAAGCTGTAATGCATTCAAAACCTGCCGGAACTGCTTTATTTTTGTAGCTGTGAAATGATTCAGCATAGTGATATGGAATTGTAAATTCTACTGTTTTTCGATTACTATATTCAGCCATACTACTCAGCTCGCATACTGCTTTTAGCACACTATGTAGTAGGGAAGTATGCAATTTGGGACGCAGCCGTGGATTAGGTTTGATTAGCATGTTTAGGTGTTTGTTTTACCTGGGGTGACGGTTAGCGTGGCCTCTGTGCTTCTCCGTCGGCTGACAATATTAGCTGCCACACATCTGTAACTCCCAGCATCCCTCTGTTCAACTCCCTGAATTTGCAAAACGCCACTGGGCAGCACTGTGATTCTAGATAAGGATTAATAAACATCATTATTAATCAACTGACAAACAGTTTAATGTATTCATTCATTCATTTTCCTTAAGCTAAGTTTCTATTTCAGAGGTTGCCACAGCGGAATGAACCAACAACTATGCCAGCCAATGTTCTAGCAGTGGATGCCCTTTCAGCTGCAACCCAGTATTGGGAAACACCCATACACACTCATACACACACCCTCAAACACTACAGCCAATTTAGTTTATTCAATTCACCTATGTGTTTTGACTGTGGGGGAAACCGGAGATAAACAATCAGACAGAATCTTTAGAATAATACATGCTGATTAAGCATTCACAAGTGAACTAGCCACAATAAATGCAATACAAGCATCAAATAACTGTTGAACAACCGTACAACATATATCTGGAGAATTAAAATCAAATTAACATAGAAGTCAGAGGCCAACACTAAGCCCCTCCCCTCTACAGTGCATGGGCGGAGCTTTACCTTTCAGTGGCCAATGGTAAAGTGACTCTGTTAAACTCCCAGGTGATGATTGGTGGAGGCGTGGCTGTGATTTTGCAGGTGAATCTGGCCACGGATCCCTCCATTACTATGATTGATGCCGGCTGCTGAGTGAACGTGGATAAACCTGCAGAAAGACAACATCAAATCAACATCATTATTATGTATAATCAGCTGAGAATGCATCATCTCCTGTTTTAATTGCTAATTTGAATATGAGATATGAGAGAAATTAAATAGGTAATGGACACTGGAATATATTAGAAGGGGTGAATGGTGAATGGTTAAATGAATATATATTCATTCATTCATTTTCTTTTCGGCTTAGTCCCTTTATTAATCTGGGGTCGCCACAGCGGAATGAACCACCAACTTATCCAGCATATGTTTTAGGCAGCGGATGTCCTTTCAGATGCAACCCATCACTGGGAAACCTCCATACACACTCATTCACACACATACACTACAGAAAATTTAGCTTACTCAATTCACCTGTACCACATGTTTTTTGGACTTGTGAAGGAAATCGGAGCACCAGGAGGAAACCCACGCCAACATGGGGAGAACATGCAAACTCCATACAGAAATGCCAACTGACCCAGCCGAGGCTCGAACCAGTGACCTTCTTGCTGTGAGGCAATTGTGCTACCCACTGTGCCACCATGCTGCCATACATATATATATATATAAAAAACCTATGCTGGATAAGTTATAGGTTCATTCTGCGGTGGCAACCCCTGATTAATAAAGGAACTAAGCCAAAAAGAAAATGAATATATAAAAAACATATGCTGGATAGGTTGGCGGTTCATTCCGCCGTTGCAACCCCTGATCAATATTTCAGATAATAGTTCAATAATTCAGAAATACGAAAAAAACGTCAGAAATACGAGAAAAACACACAAACACACACACACACACACATATATATATATATATATATATATATATATATATATATATATATATATATATATATATATATATATATATATATATATATATATATATATATATATATATATATATATATATATATATATATATATATATATATATATATATATATATATATATATATATATATATATATATATATATATATGTATATATATATATATATATATATATAAGTATATATATATATA